CAGAGGTACAAAATTTGGGCCAGGGACGGACCCAAAATTTTGAAGCTGAGCAAGTTAAGATAATGAATCACAATTTACAAAGGGAATAACTCCAAATTTACAAAGGTATTTGACAATGACATTTTTTTTACTTTTGAACCAGAAAATCAAAAATTTCCCCCACTTTTAGTCCATTTCTAGGTTTCTTTTATAGTAAAATCAATCAAAAACTTCCCATTTTTTCTTTTTTTCCTTCTATCAAATGAGACAAGAAAAAAGAGAATACAACCTAAATATATATGAAAAAAACACCACAAAATCTGTATTTTAACCCTAAACTTTTCCCAAACAGATTACTTCGCATGCGTATGTTTCCAAAAAATAGATCTTTTTTTTTCACGTTTTTCCAAAAAAAAAAAAAATTTTTTTTTTTTACTTTTCAAATGAAAAAAAAAAGAAGATCTACTTTTTTTTACATCTTCAAATGTTGAAAAAAAAGTAATCTACGCTTGGGCAGTTTAAGGCTTAAAAAAAAAAAAGGGAGGTCGGATTTTTTCCCTCATTCGACTGCGTGCTGCAGGGTTTTTTTTTTATATGGTGCACAAAGAAACAACCCATTCCTCTTTGGGCCTACCGCTTTCTCATGCTTGATTTGAAGCTGCTAGAATTTATGAGTAATATATGCCCCAAAAACGGTGGCTTGTAAAACATACATTTAAAAATTTCGACCGAAAAGTTAAAGGGTTAAAGTTTGCAAAGTCTGCTGGCCAAGGCGGATGAAGGAGTGGTGTTAAGAGGGAAAACTTCATGTTATAAACCTGAATTCCTTAGCAAATTTGGCTTCCAAGTCTGGAGGATGAGCAGGGGCACTGCTATTAACGGAGGCAATGGGGTGGGAATTTTTTAACCAGGAGGATTTTTTTTACACTTGGCCCAAAACCTTTTAATAAACCATTCCAGGGGAAAAATTTTCCCCCAACCCATGCCTTACTGTTGCCTTTTCCCCATCACACACAAATTTTTCTTTACAAAACTATTTTTTTGAATCTCTGGGGTTTTTAGAGAGGGTTTCACCCGTAAAGGCTTCACGTTGAAATCCCCCCTAGCATTCCACAGAACAAGAGGTTTGCTTGCTTTCATAGGCTTGTCCGGGAGGCCTTTTTCCTCTGATCAAGTCCTCTTTGGGATTTTCTTTTCCAAAACCCCGTTTGCCACAACTAACACTTGTTGGGGGGTGAATTTTTTTCTTGAATAGTCTTTGAATTCACCACAAATTTTACAGCGCTTGTTTTTCGGAACTGGCAGCCTCACCGTGCCTTCAACCTTGATGCACTTCGCTTTTTGAATTTTTGAACCAGCCTTTTTTGGGCCTTAATTCATTAACATCACACTCTTCCCAGCTTTTTTTTACGAGATCGCAGGGAACTGCCTTCCTTCTTTCAAATTATCGATGCATAATACACTATCTCTTTCTAATTGTTTTCATGATAAACACCATCAATTTCTCCACTTGTTCAATTACTTGTGATCTCTGTTTCGTTATCACATTTACCCCCTTTTGCAACATCAGCTTCCATAATTTCTTTTTTCTTTGCCATAATGGAACTGATGGTTGATGGCACCTTCCCGTACATCTTGGAAGGTCGGCAACACGTATGCCACTGTAATTTTTGTATGATTTCGTTCTTCAATTCTTCGGTGTTCCTCACTTTCTTTACCAAAGGACTGGCACTAGGAGCTTTCTTTGGACCCAAAACCAATGAATTATTACGAAATGCTTCGTATGACCTCGCAGGATATGTTCACTCACCTAGAAACAACACATCACTGTCTGAGAATGTGTCGGGGAGGTGGCTTCGTGTGCTCGCTAGGTACTGGACGGGTTCCGTACCATCGACGAAAACGGAGGCAATATTCTGACGATGAAATCGGAGATAACGGAGATCAACGAAAAAGGAAGGGTCCACTGCATATCCTTTAACCTTTGAAAAAAGAAACACTAAGGCCACAGCCTCTGTCAGATAGTTCCTTTATTTCTGGATTCTTAGCAAGAATGCCAGAAACAACTACATCATCTGAACAAGAATGCAAAAAACCTACCACAGTAACCTTAGGCAACATCATGACTGGCTCACAGACCACAAAACCAGCATCTGTGGGAAATCAGGAAGCCATGCAGGTCTCAGCCTTCTGCTTCACTCAAGCAGGTGGATGTGTAAGCACCAAAGCATGATTTTTAGTCACCTTCTCCAGTGGGACTGAACTTAATGAATACTGGTTACATGGGAAGGAGGAGCACTATTCACTGGGACACCAGATTTTGGTGTAACAATCATAACCTGCTGATCATGAACCACAGTGTTCACTCCAAAATTATTAATCCGAATGTCAGCTGCCTTTAAAGCATGCTCCCCCCCACCATCCTGCTTCCTCAATGCCCTACCTAATGTCAACGAAACACTGAGAAGACAACTAGGCTCTATACGTCAGCACCAAGGTCAGGTAGTTTCTTTTCTGCCTTAGGCACTTTTATAGCAAAATATTACCATCATCATACACTCACTGCACCAACCACACCCACAAACACTATCCACCAATGTCCCCTGAAAGTCAGAGTTTTTCAGCTCATGAAGAATAACAATTGCTCCAAACACATCCATTGCTCAACCACCAAAAACACAAACTGCAGTGGACCCGCGCATAACGATATTAATCCGTTCCTGAGAATTCATTGTTATGCGAAATTATCGTTATGCAAATGAATTTTCCCCATAAGAAATAATGGAAATCAAATTAATCCGTGCAAGACACCCAAAAGTATGAATTTTTTTTTTTTACCACATGAAATATACATTTTCCTACACACAAAGAGAAGGATACATGCACAATAGTAGAGTAGTACATGCACAATATATATTGTGCATGTACTACTCTACTAAATGAAGAATAAATGACACTTACCTTTATTGAAGATGCAGCAATGACTGATGAGACACTGTGTCCTGGGAGTGCCTTTTCCTCCTGAGTACTGTAGGTCCTGTTGGGCATTTTCTTCCAGAACAGGCCTTATCACACTGTGTATGCCACTACGATTCTTAAATCTCTCAAACCAACCTTTGCTGGCTTTAAATTCATCAATATGAGCACTAGTTCCAGGCGTTTTTCCCTGTTCACCTGGGTGTTAGTTGACTGGTGTGGGTTGCATCCTGGGAGACAAGATTAAGGACCCCAATGGAAATAAGTTAGACAGTCTTCGATGACACTGACTTTTTTGGGTTATCCTGGGTGGCTAACCCTCTGGGGTTAATTGTTTCTTGGTATTCTCAATAAGCCACACCAACAATGGTGCTACAGCAGCAGCAGCTGACAGTGCTACAGCAGCAGCAGCTGACAGTGCTACAGCAGCAGCTGACAGTGCTACAACAGCAGCAGACGATGCTACAGCAGCAGCAGATGGTACTACAGCAGCAGCAGCAGCTGACGGTGGTACAGCAGCAGCAGCTGACGGTGCTACAGCAGCAGCAGCAGCAGCTGACGGTGCTACAGCAGCAGCAGCTGACGGTGCTACAGCAGCAGCAGCAGCTGACAGTGCAGCAGCAGCAGCAGCTGACAGTGCTACAGCAGCAGCAGACGATGCTACAGCAGCAGCAGACGGTACTACAGCAGCAGCAGCAGCAGCAGACGGTACTACAGCATCAGCTGACGGTGGTACAGCAGCAGCTGACGGTGGTACAGCAGCAGCTGACGGTGCTACAGCAGCAGCAGCAGCAGTATCTGACGGTGGTACAGCAGCAGCTGACGGTGCTAAAGCAGCAGCAGACAGTGCTACAGCAGCAGCAGCTGACGGTGCTACAGCAGCAGCAGCAGCAGTATCTGCGGTGGTACAGCAATGACGTGCTACAGCAGCAGCAGCAGCAGTATCTGACGGTGGTACAGCAGCAGCTGACGGTGCTAAAGCAGCAGCAGACGGTGCTACAGCAGCAGCAGATGGTGCTACAGCAGCAGCAGACGGTACTACAGCAGCAGCTGAAGGTGGTACAGCAGCAGCAGCAGCAGCTGACGGTGCTACAGCAGCAGCAGCAGCTGACAGTGCTACAGCAGCAGCAGACGATGCTACAGCAGCAGCAGACGGTACTACAGCAGCAGCAGCAGCTGACGGTGGTACAGCAGCAGCAGCAGCTGATGGTGCTACAGCAGCAGCAGCAGCTGACAGTGCTACAGCAGAAGCAGACGATGCTACAGCAGCAGCAGACGGTACTACAGCAGCAGCAGCAGACGGTACTACAGCAGCAGCAGCAACTGACGGTGGTACAGCAGCAGCAGCTGACGGTGGTACAGCAGCAGCAGCAGCTGACGGTGGTACAGCAGCAGCAGCAGCTGACAGTGCTACAGCAGCAGCCGCACCTGACAGTGCTACAGCAGCAGCAGCAGCCGCACCTGACAGTGCTACAGCAGCAGCAGCAGCATCAGCAGTTGACCATGGTACCACAGTATTTCGATAATATTTCTCACCCTTTTTACCACAGGGTTGGCACTAGAAGCTTTCCTGGGGCCCATGGTCACTTATTTTGCAGATAAAATCACCAAAAACGCTGTAATAATACGAAATGTTACGATTGTATGCTTGGATGTTACCGCGGAGGCTGGCTTGTAAACAATGCCACCGGCGGAACATGTGAGGCTGGCTCAGGCTGCACATTAGACGCGTCTCGGACGAATAGTGTCGAGCGGGTTTTTTAGCGGTATGCGAGGCAAAATCTTAGCGATAAAATGTATCGGTATGCGGATTTAACATTATGTGATGCCAACGGTATGCGGTGGTCCACTGTATAATGCCTGTGTATAAAATAATCATCATCTAAATCTGCTCAGGCAATGTGAAACCATTCACTACGAAAGGAACATTTACGTACTTTAGCATTTCTTTAAATTTTAACCACAAATACAGATCACGTGTTCTTATCTTTTGCAAGCTTCTTATTGTTAAGGTGTGACAGACTATCGGTGTCAATTTGACTTACCACATCATAACCTTGTGGAATGGGCCTTCATCTGGACAACTCCTCCAACGACCAAGCTCTTTGATTTTGGCCTCTACCTTTCTCCTTGCAATAAAAAGACCTGAAAAAATTGTTATTATTAATGAAAGTTAAAATTGTTGTGTACATCCTATGATGCCAATTATATTGGCGAAGAAGAAATTAAGACACAGTAATAAAAAATACATATAAAGTAATGTATGTATTAAAATTTGAGATGGTTTATAAATAAAAAAAAACTTTGTAATACCCATAGGAACAATTTGCTTGAAAAAAATAGTTTGATCAGAAAAAAGAAAAACAGGAATAGCCCAATGAAGTAACTATATACACAGTTTGAAGGAGAGAATGCATTAGCAATAAATCTACAACACCATATTTCATTATTTCAAAACACTGAAAAATAAACAAGCATGATTATCAGGTATTCTCGAAGAGGTATCTTAAGTATACCTGGAGAGGGTTTCGGGGGTCAACGCCCCCGGGGCCCAGTCTGTGACCAGGTCTCGCCTAAGTGGGTGAGAATTCTTTCTTCCTTCAAGGATTCTGATTATAACTTGAGAAAACCTCATTTATCTGATTCAGTTTTTCAAAACTGGTGTACTATAACTACAGTAAACCCTCAAAATAACAAACTAATAGAAAGGGGCTGTTTGAGCATCTGGTAAATCAGACTGTTAGAAAACAAGGGAAATAAAAAAATCAACAATTTTGGATGAAAATAGAGAGACTAGCCTTGAAGTATTGGATAAAATGAACATAAGTCAATAATTCTGGATTTTGTCTGTAGTAACAGTGTCTAGTTGTCTTCTGAAGTACAGGGCCAATTCTGATACACAGACATTTGTCCAGTCCAGAACAAAGCAACCATGTCCAGGACCTGTCTGTTTTCATTATTCCCTGAACTGTAGGCCACCTGTGTCAGTTTAGCTTATGCTCACTCATATATACACTAATCATTCAGCCTCCAATTATCCCCGGATTTAGTTTTTTGTGTGACTAACATTTTAAGTAAAGTACAATTATCTTTGACTTCTAAAGTAAGAGGTGATGTCAAGAAGAAACTTGTGGTTCTCAGAACTAATAAAGAAAATTGAGTATGGCATCTCAGTGTCATGTGTATTTGAGGAATATGGTGTAAAGAAAAAATGTCTGATATCTGTACAAGCATGTCTAAATGTAGACACACACACATCACCTTATCCATGCACTCTAAGAAAGAGGTGGGGATATTTGCTGTTTGGAGGGTCATATGAACTGACATATCTACACGCCTCTGGGACGAGGACAATAGTGTGAATAATAGTGAATGTTTCTTTTTTGGGTCACACTACCTTGGTGGGAGACAGTGAAAGACTAGATGATTCATAGAATTAATGAAGGGGGAAAAAGGTGAGTGGGGCATTAAGGCATCTGTGGAGACAAAGAGGGGAATGTATGAGAGTAAAGTGGTCCCAACACTCTTATATGAGTGTGAAGCTTGAGTTGTGAATGTTGCAGCAAGGAGGACATTGGAGGCAGTGGAGATGTTGAGTATGAAGGCAATGTGCAGTGTAAATATTATGCAGAGAATTTGTAGTTTGGAGATTAAGAGGTGTGGAGTTACTAAAAGTATTATCCAGAGAGTTAAGGAGGGGTTGTTGAGGTGGTTTCAACATTTAGAGAGGATAAAGCAAAATAGGATTACTTACCTGAAGGATGTTCAACGCCCCCACGGCCTGGTCCATGACCAGGTCTTGACTTGGAGGGTGTATAAATCGGTAGTGGAAGGAAGGTAGGGTAGGGGGCCATCCTAGAAAAGGATGGGAGGGAGGGGGTAAAGGAGGTTTTGTGTGCAAGGGGCTTGGATATTGAGCAGGCATGTGTGAGCATTATTAGTTAGGGAGTTGAAGGGAATATTTTGAGGGACCATTAAATATTTAAGTTGATGAAGAGGAGGAGGTTGTGATTTTGTGAATTGGCCAGGGAGGTATAACATCTTTTAAGAGTGAGGAAGAGCCAGATTTGAGTGTGGAGGAGGTATGTGAGGCAGTGGGTAAAATGAAAGGGGACAAAGCAGTTGTGATGTGATTGATGGTATCAAGACAAATGTTAAAAGGTGTGGATATGGTTTTGGAGTGGTTGGTTCTTTTTTTAATAAATGTCTGAAAAGGGGTAAGGTACCTAGGGATTGGCAAAGAGCATGCATAGTTCCTTTTTATAAAGACAAAGGGGGACAAGAGAAAGTGTAAGAATTATTGGGGACTAAGCCTGTTGAATATACCTGGTAAAGTGTATGATGGAGTTATTACTGAAAGAATTAAGGGTAAAACAGAGAGCAGGCTTGAAGATAAACAAAGAAGCTTTAGATAAGGGTAAAGATTTTGTTACATTTATGGATTTGGAGATTAGAAGATGTGGGGTTTCTAAAAGTATTATCCAGAGGACTGTTGAGGTGGTTTGGACATTTAGATGATGGAATGAAATAGAATGACTTGGAGGGTGTATAAATCTGTAGTGAAGAATTGAGACACTTATGCAACATATGGGAATCTTTATTGAAGAAACGTTTCGCCACACAGTGGCTTCATCAGTCCAATACAAAGTAGAAGTGGGTAAGGAGAGTAGAAGTTTGAGGTAATCAGTGTCTGACAGACACTGCAAACATCATGGGATCTTGGTACAAAGACTTCAACGCTTGCCAAACCTTTGGGCGACGACCTACTTACACTAGTGGCAGGTCCCACTGTGATCCCGCCTCTTCCTGCTTCAACTCATCTCACCGCAGTATATAAGCCACCTCTCTGGCCCTATGCTGCACTTCCTACAAGAGTGATGGACTGAACACATCGATTCCAGGTTGAGGGACTGATTACCTCAAACTTCTACTCTCCTTACCCACTTCTACTTTGTATTGGACTGATGAAGCCACTGTGTGGCGAAACGTTTCTTCAATAAAGATTCCCATATGTTGTATAAGTGTCTCAATTCTTCAACTTGTCGGTTTTCAAAACCATTCATCAAATCTGTAGTGGAAGGCAGGGTAGAGGTTGGAGGGAGGGGGTAATGGAAGTTTTGTGTGACAGGGGCTTAGACTTCCAGCAAGTGTGTGTGTGTGTGAGCATGTTAGATAGGAGTGGAGGCAAGTGGTTTTTATGACTTGACATGCTGTTGGAGTGTGAGTAAGGTAACATTTATGAAGGGATTTAGGGAAGCCAATTAGCTGGACTGAGTCCTGGAGGTGAGAAGTACAGTGCCTGCACCCTGAAGAAGGGGTAGGGATATTTACAGTTTTGAATTGTAGTATCAATGCACTACTAGCATTCAATGGTGGAAGTGTTTCTTCTTTTTTTTGGGTCACCCTACCTTGGTGGGAGATGGTCAGTGTGTTAAAAAAAATATATATATACACACACACACCACACATATACATCCCATATTTAATCTTAAGTCACTTCCCATATCTATCCAGCTTTTCAGCTTTCTTCTAAACTCAAATATACTTTCCTCACTACAATCCATTTGGTAAACATAACTATAACATTCCTAGGTAGTAGGTTGGTAGACAGCAACCGCCCAGGGAGGTACTACTGTCCTGCCAAGTGAGTGTAAAATGAAAGCCTCTAATTGTTTTACATGATGGTAGGATTGCTGGTGTCTTTTTATTGTCTCATACACATGCAAGATTTCAGGTATGTCTTGCTACTTCTACTTACACTTAGGTTACACCTCACATACATGTACAAGCATATATACACGCACCCCTCTGGGTTTTCTTCTATTTTCTTTCTAGTTCTTGTTCTTGTTTATTTCCTCTTACCTCCATGGGGAAGTGGAACAGAATTCTTCCTCTGTAAGAGGCGACTAAAATGCCAGGAGCAAGGGGCTAGTAACCCCTTCTCCTGTATATATTACTAAATGTAAAAGGAGAAACTTTCGTTTTTTTCTTTTGGGCCACCCCGCCTCGGTGGGATACGGCCGGTGTGTTGAAAGAAAGAACTATAACATTGTAGCAAACTATCATAAATCATATGAACCATTATAGGTGCTTGTACTTCATGCCATTTTATAACATTTAAAGTCATAAAAACTATGAATGAGTCCCTGTACCAAAAATGCAGAAATCTGAAAAAAGCAAAGGAAAACGGAATACAGTGGACCCCCGGTTAACGATATTTTTTCACTCCAGAAGTATGTTCAGGTGCCAGTACTGACCGAATTTGTTCCCATAAGAAATATTGTGAAGTAGATTAGTCCATTTCAGACCCCCAACAATACACGTACAAACGCACTTACATAAATACACTTACATAATTGGTCGCATTCGGAGGTAATCGTTATGCGGGGGTCCACTGTATAATATATATGATGAACTTACCACTATTTCTGCTTTCTTCATTACAGTCGATGTCACCATTTCTCCAATAATCAGGAAACTCGCGGGACAGGAAGAGTTTACCATTGCGATTTCCATGAAGCAACTCAATTAGTGATGGAACAGCTGAAAATAAATGAGAAGCATTAAAAAAAATAAAAAAGAGATGACCATCATCTACTACAGCATAGCTCACAATATACACAACTTTATGAATTATCTCACTTCACTAAAAACAATGTGACAAGGTGTATTGGAGAACAATGTTAAGTTTTGCAAATGTATGGAAGAGGAAGCAAGTTATTAAAAGCTGTAAAGCATTTTCATGAGGAAAGTGAGAAAGAGTACATGAAGGAAAACAGAGGAATGGTTTCCAATAAGAGGATGACTTTCCTAAATATGTATAATGCCTAGAATAATTGCGAGGCACAAAGTCTGATAGGACAATGATTTTAATTCATGTGTGTTACAATTTTTACAATTGCAGCAAAACAGTTGGAAGAAGACAAATAATTCTAAATTGTGAACTCTCAAATTCAGATTTATTTTCTGAACAAGAATTGTTTGTTTAAATTTTAATACTGCATAGTATTCAGAATTTCATATACTCAGATGTTCCTACACATGAATAAGTTCAAGTATGAGGGAATGCTAATCAGTTTTGTCTTGGGGATTGTCTGGCAAAAATGTACAGCACAGGCAGCTATAATTTAATAAAAGACAGTTAAGCAAACATCTGCCTTGAACTCTGCAGTGTGGGTCAAATGGGTCATTACCTAGGTATCAGTAAACATTCTTAACACAGTTTCAGATCTGTGAAAGTTGCTTCAACACTGTTCTTTAGTCTATGTCTGGTATTTTTTTTGCAATTATGACTATGCTTTCTCTGTACATGGCTCAAAACTGGTTTATGGATGGGTTGACAGCTGCTGTAACCTAGCTCCTTCACATGCTTATTAACACTTCTAATACACATATGAAGCATTTGTGGATTCTTTTCTTATTTTGTTAGGCTTCCCTGGACATGCTCTTGGTATGGGCATGTAATCAACACTGTCCTCACTTTCTATTTGCAATACTAAATGTCATCTAGTTTTGTAATAACTATATACCATATAAAAAATAATTTAGATACATTAAGAGAGAATGGGGATTTTTTTTTAATTTCACTGTTAAAAAATGAAATTAAATAAGAAATATCATTATCTGGGAATGCATCTCCAAATACGTATATAACATTGGTGTCTTAGGGTTTTAAGTGGGGGACCTATTGTATTATAAAAACAAAATTTTTAAACTGCTTGGGATCCATGGTAATGGTAATAAGACGAAGGTGAGCAAAGCAAGGGAAGCATTATCACTGTGAAAACTGCTGTGAACAAAATATAATTTCAATATATCTTGGTTTTCGATAAGAAAAGCAGGTAAAAAGTATTTTCTTACCTTCTTCAGGGAATTTTTTTAAATATTTTGGCCTTGTAATATTTTTGTCATCTGAAGCAAAGTCATCATCTAGTTTGTTATCCTTGGTGTCCTGTGGCAACAATCCTCCATGAGAAGTACCAATGGGCAACTGGGAAGAAAGACTCACTACCTTATGAGGGCTTAAAATCCTCAAAAGTTGATCATATGCTGAAAGAAAGCATACATAATTTTAATTAACCAGAAAAATGCTCTAATACCGTAGTAATTCAAGATAGTTAAGGTCTATAACAAAAAAAAGGCACAATACCGTGACTGGAACGATACACAAATAACCCGCACATAGAAGAGAGGAGCTTACGACGACGTTTCGGTCCGACTTGGACCAGTGTGACTTTGTAAATGGTCCAAGTCGGACCGAAACGTCGTCATAAGTTCCTCTTCTATGTGCGCGTTATTTGTGTATAGTTAAGGTCTGAATGATACAAATAATGTAAATATATACCTGGGTTTCTACAAAACTAACAACTTTTATGATAAGTTGACATAAGGCACAATAGGGAACATTTGCTGACAGCACACTTGGAGACCACTAGAAGATCTCTGACACTAACCAAATACAAACTCTAGCCAAAGGAATAAAAGATCAAAAATGAGCAAATATAAACCTATCTGTGCATGCACACACATGCACATGTACACAGAATACACTCTAAAGAGCATACTGAATTTGCACTCCAGGGGTTTCTTGTGTGTGCATCCATACACCAAACCTTCACTGACCTACATTTTTCTTCCTTTTTCAACAAAGACTGCAAGAAGAGAGCCTTCAGATCAATTCTCCATGCACTATTACCACTTCCCTTAAAAAATTATAATCCTTCCCAACAGCCAGGTTACACTGAAGGTCTCCAAAGTACACCTACCATCCGACTTACGACCTAGTTCAGTTCCGAGAAACCGGTCCTAAGTCAAAATGGACGTAAGTCAAACTTTACTACTGAATATCAACATCACATTTTTGTAATGACTATTTTATTGTTTTATTTTGGTATTTCATGTTTTACTTTACTTTTTAAGCTGTTAGTACTGCATTTTATACTGTAAGGTTTAGGATAAACACTGTACAACACAAATAGTTGTTTATTTCCCAGAAATTTTGAAAAAAAAAAAAAAAAAAAAAAGGTCATAAGTCGAGTGGTCGTAAGTCGGATGGTAGGTGTACTAGCACAAGCTATCACTAAAGTCATCATTGCAACCAGCACCTCCAAAAAAGACCTGACTAGGATTAAATTGAAAAACCTTGACAGAGTATACATCAGCAAAACAGAAAGAAGCCTCAAAACATGTCTCAATGAACACATTAATACATGAAAGAACGATAATTTGAATAATTCATATGTACAACACTGGAATTCCACCAACCATCCAATGAAATTTAATGACGGACACCTTGTGATTCATGAACAAAATTTCCACAAATGTAACTGCCTTGAATCATCCTTAATCACCATGTCAAACACTATTAAATAGAATCAAGGTAGCTTCATCATCTCTGAAGCATTAGGAAGAGTTCCTATGAAAACAATAAGTCCAGTCATAACATTAGCAACAATGATTTACCTCTGCTGCTACTACCTGTACTAGTACTATTAGTACCACCACCTGTACTAGTACTACCACCACCTGTACTACTACTACTACCATCACCACCTGTACTAGTACTATAGGGAGTATTGAAATTTTGGCCAAAGCTGCACTCTTCAGGCATTGTTCCTTATATACCTCTTAGATTCAGTGCCAAATATGAAGTTATTGGTTGAGGTTTAGCCTACAGCATTTGTGACTGAAATTTTGGAATATGTCTGCAATACCGAGTAGTGCAGCATAGTGTTTTATGTACTGTATCTATGTACGTATAAACATTAACTAACTCTCTCTCTCTTCAGATACTGATTACTTATATACATTACTACTGAGATGGCTGCAATGTCAATGAGGAAAGCCACAGAACATGCATTATTTGGCCATGCCAACGTTCTTCCAATGAACAAACTTCCGTCCAAAGGCAATTTGTTAAGGAACTGCTGTGATATAAATGTGATGAAGGAAAGTTTACTGATGTTTCAGTGATTATCAAGATAGCAGCTAAAGATTGCTCTGAACTATGGGAGAAATCAATTGGAGACAGAAAGACTATCCTTATTCTCAGCCAGAAAACTATTTAGGAAAGAATGAGAAAGTTGTAGAGGAACAGAACTTAAGAACAAAAATGTCTCCAAAAAAAAAAAAAAACAGATACATTTCAGGAAGAAACGAACAAGTGTTTGATATATGTAGTTGTTTCTGTCCTGCTGCTTCCTGTCAAGATGTAGGGTGCAAAATAAAGGAGTGTGACGGATACCACCTGACCTTGTAATTGTAATGTGAAAGTTCCTAAATGTGAGGCACAGTTCCTCTTTGACCAGAGAGGCGATAGGAAGATGAAAATTGACTGTGCTGACATGACAGTAACGAGGATGTAGGATAGAGTGTCGGTAAAAGAGGAGCAGGATGCAGCCAGAGCCAGGAAGCAGATGGAGGAGAGTGACCCAGCAGCTGGAGAAGTTTCTGATTCTGATGATGCGGCAGCCTCCTGCCAAACTAGTGGTTAGATTGTTAACCTGCCGGCCTGCAGTACCACGGGTACGTCATCAAACCCAATGTGGGGACTGCTGAGCCGGCCTTAGAAGCAGTATTCACCTGACCATCTTACAGTGTACGTATATCTACTGGCCTTAGAAGCAGTATTAACCAGACCATCTTATGGTATACATCTACTGGCTGTAGAGAGTATTAACCAGACCATCTTACGATATACATCTACTGGCCTTATAGAGAGTATTCTCCGAACTACCGGACAGAGTACATTTGAAAGTGATGTCTACTGACTCACTGCTGACTTCAGTCAACTGCGAGCCTCCTGACTGCAGTTTTTCTAGTCACTCAGATCCCTGCAGACTTCGGTTACCTGAGGGCTTCACTTAGTCTGCTGGCTTCAGTTATTGTGGGCCTCTGGTTGTAGTTTTACTGGCCAGATTGGCGGACTTCGACCTGCGAGCCTTGGTGAACTTTGTTGGCCTCCTGCTGATCTAAGGGAGTGTAGTGTTTGGCTGTCCTCTGAAGAGAAAGACGCTATGCGGGTGACACAGCCGAGAAACAGTGTTATAACAGAGACAAGGGTGTTGTGTGGACACAGTAGAGATGGTGTGTGTGACGCAGAGACAAGGGTGTCACGTGGACACAGTAGAGATGGGGTGTGTGACGCAGAGACAAGGGTGTCATGTGGACACGGTAGAGAAGGAGTGTCGTGTGACACAGAGACAAGGGTGGCGTGTGACACGGAGAGGAGGAGCATCATAGCACAGGCAAGGGTGTCGTGTGACACGGTAGAGAAAGTGTTATAATACTGAAAAGGGAGTGGAGTATAACTCCGTGGAACCAGTTTTGTACGACTGAGTGTGACACAGTAGTGTCAAGAGCATTGTACCCTGTATGTGGTAGGGTCATGACTTGATTATAATTTATTATTTTAGGATTTATATATATATATTTTTTTTTCAACAAGTTGGCCGTCTCCCACCGAGGCAGGGTGACCCAAAAATGAAAGAAAATCCCCAAAAAGAAAATGCTTTCATCATCATTCAACATTTTCACCACACTCACACATAATCACTGTTTTTGCAGAGGTGCTCAGAATACAACAGTTTAGAAGCATATATGTACGTATAAAGATACACAACATATCCCTCCAAACTGCCAATATCCCAAACCCCTCCTTTAAAGTGCAGGCATTGTACTTCCCATTTCCAGGACTCAAGTCCGACTATATGAAAATAACCGGTTTCCCTGAATCCCTTCACTAAATATTACCCTGCTCACACTCCAACAGATCGTCAGGTCCCAAGTACCATTCGTCTCCATTCACTCCTATCTAACACGCTCACGCACGCTTGCTGGAAGTCCAAGCCCCTCGCCCACAAAACCTCCTTTACCCCCTCTCTCCAACCCTTTCGAGGATGACCCCTACCTCGCCTTCCTTCCCCTATAGATTTATATGCTTTCCATGTCATTCTACTTTGATCCATTCTCTCTAAATGACCAAACCACCTCAACAACCCCTCTTCTGCCCTCTGACTAATACTTTTATTAACTCCACACCTTTTCCTAATTTCCACACTCCGAATTTTCTGCATAATATTTACACCACACATTGCCCTTAGACAGGACATCTCCACTGCCTCCAACCGTCTCCTCGCTGCTGCATTTACCACCCAAGCTTCACACCCATATAAGAGTGTTGGTACTACTATACTTTCATACATTCCCTTCTTTGCCTCCATAGATAACATTTTTTGACTCCACATATACATCAATGCACCACTCACCTTTTTTCCCTCATCAATTCTATGATTAACCTCATCCTTCATAAATCCATCCGCCGACACGTTAACTCCCAAGTATCTGAAAACATTCACTTCTTCCATACTCCTCCCCAATTTGATATCCAATTTTTCTTTATCTAAATCATTTGATACCCTCATCACCTTACTCTTTTCTATGTTCACTTTCAACTTTCTACCTTTACACACATTCCCAAACTCATCCACTAACCTTTGCAATTTTTCTTTAGAATCTCCCATAAGCACAGTATCATCAGCAAAAAGTAACTGTGTTAATTCCCATTTTGAATTTGATTCCCCATAATTTAATCCCACCCCTCTCCCGAACACCCTAGCATTTACTTCTTTTACAACCCCATCTATAAATATATTAAACAACCATGGTTACATTACACATCCCTGTCTAAGACCTACTTTTACCGGGAAGTAGTCTCCCTCTCTTCTACACACCCTAACCTGAGCCTCACTATCCTCATAAAAACTCTTTACAGCATTTAGTAACTTACCACCTATTCCATATACTTGCAACATCTGCCACATTGCTCCCCTATCCACTCTATCATATGCCTTTTCTAAATCCATAAATGCAATAAAAACTTCCCTACCTTTATCTAAATACTGTTCACATATATGCTTCAATGTAAACACTTGATCTACACATCCCCTACCCACTCTGAAACCTCCTTGCTGATCAGCAATCCTACATTCTGTCTTACCTCTAATTCTTTCAATTATAACCCTACCATACACTTTTCCTGGTATACTCAA